TATTTTGAATAGTAAAATGAATACAAAGAAAACCCATGATGTAGGGTGCCTTTTAAAAACAAAAATGAGAACAATTTAATTTTTTATAGAAATTTTTTTAATTAATTAATCATTCATGTTTTTTTCTAAAAAAATGATAACATTAATGACTATTTAGAATTTATCAGGTAAGATTTAATTGATGTCTACAAAAAAAAAATTAAAAAAATATGTTCAAATTATTTGTTATTAAGATTCAAAACTTCTACATTGTTATCTCTCGGGACCATATAATATTTCTAGTATAAAATAACACGAACATTGATTCTCGTATCGCGAGCAACATGATTTGGACTGCAAGGCAGTGACGGTATGGTTGTCGAGGGGAAAAATAAAGGAGTGGGTGAGGTTAAGCCAGCAAAACGATGGCGCGAAGCGAGTAATTGGGAAGAAGACAGCATGGTAAGCTTTTGATAAGACGTGGATCTTGTCTTGGCGTAAGTATCCACAAAAAGCGGGAGAAATTAGAAATCTCCATTTTTAACCCTTTTTTTAATTAAAAAAGCAACCGTGTTTCGTAATGGAGTGAGACAAGTTAATGACGCATATGCTGTAACTTTATACAAGGGGAAGTAGCAGCTACCACGTGAATTTTCATCAAAATCAGGATGGACTTAAATGAATTTTGATCTAATTAACTAAATAGATCAAGCTGCGTTTAAATTTTTTAAAATAAACTGATGTGTATTTTGTTAAAAATAAAATTATTTTAATTAAACATAATCAATCTAAACTATTCTATAACTTGAGTTTGGAACCAGTTTTGGACTCGATAAAAACTGATTTAATAACTTTGATATCAATTTTGCATTCTTAGTATTCAGGATTTTGATAATGTCAGTATATTATATCAGCTAGGAATTAGCGGCGGGATTTGTTTAAAAATATGGTTATAATTATTTTTTAAAATATTTTTATTTAAAAATATATTAAAGTAATGGTTTTTATTTTTTAAAAATTATTTTTAATATTAGTATACTAAAATAATTTGAAAACATAAAAATATTAATTTAAAATAAAAAATAAAAAATTAAATATTTTTAAAAATACTTTTAAAATATAAAAATAAACAAGATTTAAAAATAGATTATAAGTTTTGTCTACTGTTTTTAAAAGATTTTTTTTTCCTTGAGAGAAAAAAAAAATACGAGGCTATGAGTCTATGCGTGGGATAATATATTTTAAGGCCATTTATGTAGTAGATCCGACCCGGAATTATCATTTATTTATTGCCGGAATAAATCCCAGATAGTTTTTACATACTAAAAGTAAAATTTTCTATAAAATACCAAATAAGTTATTCACAGTCATATGAAAAATCTGAGCTGACGGAATAAATTGATATAAATCTAGATCAAACCAGGTTCCAACACACACACAAAAAAAAAAAAAAAAGTTAACCTGTTGTAACATTATAAAGATAAATAAATTGATTTGTGACATGATTAATTCAATCAAAATTTGTTGATTTTTTTAAATAATATCATTTATTTATTTTTTATAAAATAAAAAATAGATAGACCTTGAACTTAAATACTTGAATTGACTTTTAAAAAAAATATTATTCGTTTTAGATTTGAGTATTGATGAATTTCCAATCTACTTCTGAACTCGAAGTTGAGACAGTGTTGTAATTTGTGGGACTCCATGTACTTACCACGACTAATTGTTACATCTCAGATAATGGTGCAATAACATTGACGCATGTAATAGTACTTCGACCTTGAACCGATTTGCTGTCGCGCCATGCACAATTTAGTATATAATTACGAGGATAAACAGCTCAGTGCTGATTTCCATGGTGATTATCAGGCAATGCTAATTGCGAGACGGTATTGATGTAGTGGTGATGTGATTAATTTCAATTTTTCTATCAACTCTTTAATTCAATCACTGATCACTGACAACCTCTTAATCAGCTAGATTTCTCGATTGTTTGAGTTGATTAACACATCTAACCCCGAGCATTAATCAATTAATTAATCAATAATTGATCCAAGGTGTCCTTGACATGTATTGCTTCAGTGAGTGAAACTTTTGATTTAAGGTAACGGCATTTATTGTTTTTGTTTGGATTTGCTATTTTAAAAAACTATCAATGAGAGGGTAATAATTTATTATTTTGTATCTTAATCAAGTGTTGAGTCTGTGCCTCTTTCACGTTATATATATTCTATTTTAACTATTCAAATATATTTATTATGAGAAATCAAAGATATTTTGTTGATATTTTAACTTTTTTTTCTTTAATAAAGAGTGTTTGAGGTTTAAAAAAAAAAGATAATATCCTTTAAAAAAAGTTTATTTTTTCTTTGTAAACAAATGATATATTTATTTCATGGTTTTATTTCAAATTATAATTATTTTTTTCTCTAAAATAATACTCATCTAGTTATTGAATATTCCTTAAATATATAAGAGAAGATTTTTTTTTACAAATATCGAGTATAATTTGTTAAATAATCATTTTAACCAAAGAGCTTAAGTTATTAAATAAAATTTCAAGATATGATTTATATTTAAAGTGAAAATTCTTTGGACTTGAATATTGCACGTACACATATTATATTATATTTAATTTTTATCAAATAAATAGAGATTATAAAATTTAAACTCATGATTACTTGGATAGAGATTATAAAATTTAAACTCATGATTGCTTGGTCATTAAAACTTTGATACCATATTAAATAACCATCTCAATTTAAAATTTTAAATTATTAGATAAGATTTTAATATATAATTTATATTATTTTATAATATAATTCACAAATCACTTTTTCAATAATAGATGAATGATATTATTAAAATAAAAAAAATTAACTAAATATCTAGGTAAAATCCTACCTCATCAGTGGATATATAATATATTATCCAATTATATGCATGAATCATTGAATCCCAGTAATTGATTTGCACAACAACAATTTAGCAAGTCTCAAGACAAGAATTGCCCACAAAACAATTGCTGCGTGTGACATGATAATTTTTATGTCGAAGAACACATTCCACTGGCTAGATTATCCATCTGGCAGCAGACGCGGCACACCGGTTTGGGTCCCATGTTCCAACTAGACCGTGGGTCCCTTTCCTGAGGGGGTAATCAAGGGATTGATCATGGGTTCTCGGCGGGTCTCGTTTCAGGGGATGGCTACTTTTTAAAACGTAAATTCGACAAATTTTACAGTAATAAAAAAAAAAGTAATTTCAATAAGATTTGGCCAAAAAATCTTATTCTTCATGCTGGTAATAAAAAACGTTTTTCTCATGACGAAATGGAGATCAATTAAATTTTCAATGAGTTATTTATTCCTAAATTTGGGCATTCACTGATTTTTTTTTTTATCTTTTTTATTTATTTCCTCGTAATAATCACATCCATTTATTGCTCAGCTAATAACATGATTGTGAATTTTATAATTTTGTTTGCTTGTTTTTAAAAATATTAAATTGATTTTTAAATATTTTTTAATAATTTTAATATAAAAATAAAATAAAAATCTAAAATTAATATTTTAATATTTGTAATTAAAAAATATTTTAAAAAACATTTTACATCCTAGTACAAAACACGCTAACCTTATAAATATTATAAGTTGATAATTCTTATATTTACACACATGGTAAAATTCAATAAATCGGAAGTACTCAAATCTTCACACGCATCAACGACTAGTCAAATGCTACCTGCACACACAACCGTCAAATGCTTAGTCAAATTGACATTTTTTTTTTAACACTAACGTGGCAATTGAGTTGGAGATTATTAGGACGCTAACTAAAACAAGCAATTTGTTCCAACCGTCTGATGATCTCGGACTCCTCCCATCCACGTGGTATGATCTCGGTGGTAGCCACAACTTAACTTCCTTTGAAGAACAAAACGCCAAAAACCGAGTACGTGGACACAGATAAGCACTCTAAAAAGAAACAAAACTCGACCCATACCCGATACAAAACAGGTCAAAACACTCAGCATCATAAATTATTATTATCAACGTGCACTAAAATTCCCATTTCAGAGCAATGGACGCTAAAATTTCTAAGCCCTTTTTCATTTTGATTTAAAAAAATTTCGAGGATTTTTTTAAATTATTTTTTAATATTAAATTTATTAAATATTAGAATTCATTATCTGTTTCATTTTATTTTTTATAAAAAAAATTTTATTTATTTTTTATAAATTTATAATAAATTCATGATTTAAATAATAAATTTAACAGATTAAAAAAATAATAAATCTTAATCAATGTAATATATTGTTATTTTAATATTTTAAAAATATATATTATCTTAATTTTTTTAATCAAAATAAATTATTATCAATAATCTAATTTATTTTTAAACTTATTAAATCGATTAAGTTTATTAGTACTCGTATAATTATGATTGTTTTTATTAGAAAACATATTATTAATACATAATTTTTTTAAAAAATTTAATTTGACATAGCAGCAACGTGGCATAGAAAAATAATTTAGTTTATAATCTAAAACTTATCTCTATCATGTTTTAATTTGGAAAAAAAATCAAAAATTCAATTGACTAGATTATTATTGATCTATTCTAGCTCAATTAAATTAAAAAATAATTTTTGAAAAATATAATAAAATAATATTATTTTAATAAAAATAATTTATAATTAATATAATATTCTAATGATTAAATATCTTTTACGAGTGTTCCTACATCCATTTTCAAACCTAAAACATTAACACACTTACATTTGGCAATTTATAAGCCGCAAACCCATAGAAAAACCGTGAACTATAATGTGAAAGAATGATAATTTGTGTTCTCAAAACCGAGTTAATGGATTGGTACATCGTGGATCCTACGTGGTAATTAATAATAAAAGCAGCTTTCTTTTTTTTTAATTCATGAAAGAAGGATTCCGTATTTCCTACAGGGACGGGAAACTGACAGCGACAAGGATCATCGTAGAGAGTAGGGAAAAAAAAAAATGTTGTCAAATATTAATGTACGATCTTGCACTATAAATAGCAGACCTTGTTTTCACCTGCCTTCATCTTCTACTGTGTTCTCTTCAAACTTCTTTAAAGCAAAAACCAAAAAGCCTTCTCTTTCTGGTATTCACCATCCGTTCTTTTTGTTGCTATTTTTATTTTTCTTTTGGGTTTCTGAGAAAATTTGAACAAAATCCGACACCCTTTCCCGTCTCTTGGAGTTTGCAGGTATTCTTCGAAATATAAATCAATCTCTTTGTTAGCATTTCATGTAAGTTCTTCATCTTCTTTCTAGCTAGTTAGCTGTCCTTTATCTATACAGATTTTGATTTTGATGATTTTTGTGAAGCTTTTTTTGTGCATTAATACTGTTTGTATTTATAATTGTAGAGGAGCGAAATCCCATCAACCCTAAGAAAGGAAGAGGAAAAGGAAGCAATGACGATCAAACCGGCGGTTCGAATTTCGGAAAGCAAATTGGTCGTTAAAGACCGGACGATATTGACTGGTGTACCAGACAATGTTATGGCAACATCCGGTTCAAGTTCAGGTCCCGTCGATGGAGTGTTTCTAGGTGTGGTTTTCGATCAAGAAAATAGTAGACATGTGGTTTCTTTGGGTGCTCTACGTGATGTCCGGTTCATGGCTTGTTTCCGGTTTAAGCTATGGTGGATGGCTCAAAAGATGGGAGCTCGAGGGAGAGATATTCCTCTAGAGACACAGTTTTTATTGGTGGAAACTAAAGACGGTTCCCACCTTGAATCAGACGGTGGAGATGAAGAGAATCAGATTGTATACACTGTTTTCCTGCCGTTGATTGAAGGATCATTCAGGGCCTGTTTGCAAGGGAATGCTGACGATGAGCTTGAACTCTGTTTGGAAAGCGGTGATGCAGAGACTAAAAGGACATCGTTTTCTCATTCCGTGTTCATCCATGCTGGGACGGATCCGTTTAGGACTATAACGGAGGCTGTTAGAGCCGTCAAGTTGCATCTGAAGACTTTCCGTCAACGGCATGAGAAAAAATTGCCTGGAATTGTTGATTATTTTGGTTGGTGTACCTGGGATGCCTTCTATCAAGAAGTTACACAAGAAGGGGTGGAAGCCGGGCTAGAAAGTCTGGCTTCTGGTGGTACCCCACCGAAGTTTGTGATCATTGATGATGGATGGCAATCGGTCGGTGGTGACCCACAAGAGGAAAGCAATGATCAAGATGAGAAGAAAGAAAATCAGCAACCGTTGCTTAGGTTGACTGGGATTAAAGAAAATGCAAAGTTCCAAAAGAAAGATGATCCAACAGCGGGGATTAAGAGCATAGTGAATGTAGCAAAGGAAAAACATGGGCTAAAATATGTGTATGTGTGGCATGCTATTACTGGATATTGGGGCGGGGTTCGCCCAGAAGTTAAAGAGATGGAGGAGTATGGTTCAACGCTGAAGTATCCGATGGTGTCAAAGGGGGTGGTGGAGAACGATCCTACATGGAAAAACGATGCCTTGGCGTTGCAGGGATTAGGGCTGGTGAATCCAAAAAATGTGTACAAGTTTTATAACGAGTTGCATGGTTATCTGGCATCTGCTGGCATTGATGGGGTTAAGGTGGATGTTCAATGTATATTGGAGACACTTGGTGCTGGTTTGGGCGGTAGGGTTCAATTGACCAGGCAATACCATCAAGCCCTTGATGCTTCTATCGCAAGGAACTTCCCTGACAATGGCTGCATTGCTTGCATGAGCCATAATACTGATGCTTTGTACTGGTAATTTGTTAAAAACGACCATTTTTGTTCTGTTTCTGAGTTTGGGGCTTTAATCTGATGTGATGTGGTGCTTTGAAATGTTGTGGTGCAGCTCCAAACAAACGGCAGTGGTGAGAGCATCGGATGATTTCTACCCGCGTGATCCAGTATCACACACCATCCATATAGCAGCGGTGGCGTATAACAGTGTTTTCTTGGGAGAGTTCATGCAGCCTGATTGGGACATGTTCCATTCTCTTCATCCAGCTGCTGAATATCATGCTTCTGCTAGGGCTATTAGTGGTGGACCCATCTATGTTAGGTAATAAATCATAGCCCTTCATCATCATCATTCAATTTTACCATGTAAAATTAAGATATGAAAGTCACTAATGATCAAGTTCTTGTGTTCTATAATTTGGTAATTGGTGGGTGGTGGTACATTTTTTATGAACAGTGATGCACCTGGGAAGCACAACTTTGAGCTACTAAAGAAATTGGTCCTTCCTGATGGGTCAATTCTTCGAGCCTGTTTGCCTGGCAGGCCCACCCGTGACTGCTTGTTCTGCGACCCAGCCCGCGACGGTGTTAGGTAACCTTATCTTTATTCCGAAATAATTTTATCAACTAAGATAACTAGCACAACATGGATAAAACAAAATCTGAATTTTAGCTATATTTTGCATCCTTGGAATGTTGAATTATTGGGCATTTTTCTTAACCAAAATCTCTCTGATGGCAGCTTATTGAAAATATGGAACATGAACAAGTTCACAGGGGTCCTAGGAGTCTACAATTGCCAAGGAGCAGCATGGAACAACACTGAAAGAAAGAACACGTTCCACCAAACCAAAAACGAGGTACTGACAGGCGCTATAAGGGGTCGTGATGTGCACCTCATCTCTGAAGCTGCCATGGACCCCAACTGGGATGGTAACTGTGCTGTTTATTGTCATCGGACTGGAGAACTTATCAACCTCCCATACAATGCAGCATTGCCAATGTCACTCAAAGTCCTTGAGTATGACATATTTACAGTCACACCCATCAAGGACTTGGCACCGGGGTTCACCTTTGCACCCCTGGGGCTAATCAACATGTTCAATGCTGGTGGAGCCATTGAGGGGCTGAAGTATGAAGTGAAAGGTGGCGCTGAATTATCAAATCTTGATGATGGATACAAGGGTGAAAGTAGTTGTGTGAATGAACAGAGGGTGGAGAACTATAGTGATGAATTGGTAGGGAAAGTTAGCATGGAGGTTAAAGGATGCGGCAAGTTTGGTGCCTACTCATCTGCTAAGCCAAGGAAGTGCATTGTGGACGTAAATGTGGTCGAATTTGTGTATGATTCAGATTCTGGTTTGGTTAGTCTTAGCTTGGATAGCTTGCCTGAGGAGGGCAAGCTTCATGTAGTTGAGATTGAGTTATAGAAGAATTTTTGTTAGAATAGAGTCGGGCTGGACTGGTGTTGGTTTGGGTACTGGTGTACTTATTGTACGTGCGTGCCATGGATCCCCTCTACTTTGTTCCCTTTGTGGTTTGCTAGTTAATGTAATCATGCAAGGAATTGAAGGGGGAAGGATTAAATAAGATCTCTGCCATCTACTTGGTTGATCAATACTCTGTTCTGGACTAAGCTCATGTACCTTGGCTCTTGCAAAAATCTATCTCCACATCATTAGATACAGCCTGAATAATTGAAAATGTCGATGATTAACAAACGACTACCACTTCCTCGTTTCGGTAATCCAACTTAAGCAACTGCTAGAAACCAGAAAACAAAAAATATAGAATCAGCTGTGGATATTTGTGTTCGGGGTGAAGTCAAGCGATCCATTTCATTTGAGGCCCAACTACATATGCTCAGTTCCCTCAACCAAAAAGCAAAGAAAAATGTGAAAATAAAATAAAAATCAAGCATCAGTAACGAAGATTTGGGATATACAAGTATGAACTATGGTATGATGTACATCCCACCATCATGTTAGAAGCTAATTATCGAATTCACCATCTTCAGAGCCTTTGTTTCTGCTGTTGCCGGTTTGGTATCGCATTAGCTTCTCAATGGTGTTGTGTGGTTAGCTAGACATCAACAACTAGCCCAAGCACCTGTATATGTTTAGCGCTGATAATAGATCACTGCTGCTAGTGTGCTATGAGCTTGTCCAAATTTTCTAGTCAATTAAAGCAACAACAAACAAAAATAAAGGGACTCGTGAAATCAGAAAAGATATTATAGATTTTTGACATCTTGTGTTAAAGCAATCTATATATTCTTTGCAGTTGAGGCAGAATCTAGCCTGATATGAAGAAATAGAAGACTAATCGAGTCTAATAAAAATCCTACTGTTAAGAGACATGTAAACACTAAGATCCAAGACCCTTTACTTCCGCAAGCGCATTAGAAACTTCTGTGGACGCTTCAGGTCCGTACCGAAGCCAGTCTTTAGCACACACAAGGGCTTCCACTGTTTCAGGTCTCAAAGAACTCCGGTACGAATCCAGTTCTTTGATCTCGGTATCAAATACAGTGTTAGGTTCAGCAGTAGATACCTGGATGGTCAAAATATCGCGAGCCATTTTTGAAAGAGTTGGATATTTGAGCTTGTTCTCTTCCCACCATTTCAACACATCCATCTCTTGGTGGCGAGGCGACAAAGAATCTTCTAAATACTGCTCCAGCTCCGACTTCGTATCTTGGCTAGTAGTCTTCACATACACATCACAATCTGCAAGCCCGTTGTCTGAAATTTCTTCTGTCTTCGTGTTGTTCTCAAAATTTCCATCTTCAGCATAAGCTGAATTAAGAGGGTGAGGAAGTCTCACATATTCAAGAAACAGTTCGTGGAGCCCACCGTCAATGATCTTTACATGTTTGCCAGCTTCTTCACCGTAGAATCTCAGAAAACTGAACTCAATCAACTTCATCTTAAATCGAGGATCCATGACTACAACAATTGCCAAAGCCAGGATGCACTCCTTCAAATATTTGTCCATCTTTTCTTGCATTATTTTAGCAAGACTTATGACAAAGGGATCCCCATGGCTTGTAATAGAATGATACAGATCATGCATCTTCCAGACTTCGTGAAAGAATGTATTTTGTGCTGCGCCTGTTCTAGAGGCAAGGAAGTTGGCTGCATCAAAAAGAGGTTTTAAGTATGTGCACATAATGTCCACTCGCTTCCAGTCTTTCATGGATGGAGCCTCTTTGTAATTAGGATCGAAAGTATCCAAGCAAGAAAACACTTCCTTTAACTCTGAAGCCGCAACCAGCATCTGATATGTCGTGTTCCATTGAGCTTGGTTATCAAGAGACAGGCCTTTTTCACTGGGGACCTGAAGCTGTTGCTTGAGCTCACGGAACTTTTGCTCATGGGATTCTGTGGTCTTCACATACTTTACACTGTAACGGACTTTCTTAATGATCTCTCGCCCTTCCCACAGCACGTCTTTTGCAAAGCTGCTTAATGCATGAGCACTGCAGTTCCCAAACAGTAACTGACCGTTGATGATAAGGGGATTTTTGATACAGAGTAGAGATCTGAGGTTTTCACGCCCAGATTCACACACTGGATGATTGAAAGTGATAGAAAATAGCTTGCCTTCCAAATTCCAATCAGATAGGCAACTAGCAACGGCATGGCTAAGAGCTGCATCCGAGTTAGGGTATGGTTCCGTCGCCACATTGAGAATCCGCCTCTGTGGCTTCCAGTCACCATCAATGAAGTGTCCTGTTATAAACACATAACTTAAGCTTTGGCTAGATGTCCACACGTTCAATGTAAGGCAAACACGTCCAGGCAAACACTCGATAAACTTCATAACCTTTTGCTTTTCCCTCAAGTAACCTGAGATACAATCTCCTTGGACTGTATTAAAGCTCACCATGTCAAATCTCGGTTCAAGACTTTTGACAAAATTTACAAATCCAGGATGTTCGACCATGTGAAGAGGGTAATCATGCATGATCATCATTCTGGCAATTTTTTGGCTGAAACGGTCAAAATCAAATGAAATGCTGGCTGAGTTTCGGGATCTGTAACGACGTCTTGGTGGATCAGACAAATTGCTATTTCCATTCATCGTTGGTGTACCTGGTGTTTGTCGATTCCCCTGATTGTTTAGTAATGCTAGACAAGTTCCCTTGGCAATGTGACGTTTTAGATGGCTGGTACCAGATACTTTTGAACCCATGCTGTAAGCAAAGCTTTTCCTGCACTGCTTACAGGATGCCCTTCTACAGTCGGAGCTTACAGTTTCTATGGTGAAGTGCTCCCAAACCATGGACTTCCTTTTCCTCCGCTTGCTAGGCTGTGTTTCAGGACCAGGCGTGGAGCGACTATTCTCTTCAAAGGTTGTCATCTGGTATTCTAGAGCAGCAACTAGCTGATTCTTCTCTTCAAGAGTCACCATCTGATATTCTGGAGGAGCAATCAACTGATTCTTTTCTTCAAGTGTTGCCATCTGGTTTTCTGGAGTACTAATGAGCTGGTTCTTCTCTTCAAGGGGTGCCATCTTAACTCAAAAAATGAGTTCCCACTTTATGCAGCAAATAAGAAATGACAGAACATCCAGTACAGGATTTGACGACGGCTTTGAAAACTGACTTCCCTGTAGTGATAATAATCACTAATGAATTTCATGAAAACCATTGATATAGAACATGTTCAACATGCGATGGAGACAACAAATGATACACATGAACGAAAGCAAACAAACTAAACACAACATCGTTATCTTGTACCAGTCAATGTAATACCAAGTTTTGCACACACTAGCTCAAGCCATTTGAGAGGGCCTGGATCATTGTTTTGTCATTGCAATACCATGCATAAATTAACACAAGTCCAGCAGGTACTTGCCTGCATTACAGAATTCTTGGGTTCCTATTATTGTGCAGGCAGCAGATGCAAACTTCAAGTTCCGTTGATCCTTATGCGACAGGAAATTTTTGTCTGTCCCTGAGAAGACCACTTGATTGTGCAGAAACAAATCCATGGTAAATTTTCACCATCATCAGTACCTTATGTGACAAACCAACTCTCTCAAACAGAAGCAAGGCCTTCCTTGTTACATCATATAAATCCTGTATAAATACAAGGGCCTGACTTCCCTGTTTGCCTAAAACAGATTGTAAGAAGACCTGCAAGTTAGCTGAAGGACAATGGCCCAATAAACTAGCTTCCAGTATCATGTTAACTGCCTTCAACACTATATGGGCTCTATATGGAATAAGGTGGGTCCAATATAAAGACTTTTGTTTAAAGGGAACCACATGGTCTCAGGGTCAAAAACGGGTATTTCAACCCCCTTATAAACAGGCTAAGGAGCAAGAACATTGTTGGCATGGTTTCAAAAAAAGTAATCTGATCAAAGCAGGAGACAGAAAGGAAAACATGCCCAAGAACACAACTCCTCCTCTTTACTAAAAAATAATAACAATTCAAGACAAGCCCAGATCAAAATAGAAAAAACCCATCGATTAATCATTGAAAAGGAGACATATTTAGCGTGTAGTCAATAATAAAAAAATGACCCATAATAATGATAATGTAATTAACCAATAAAGAAATTAACGATTAACTTCTTGACTGGGTAATCAATCAAGAATCAAGAAAATCTTGATTTAACACAATCAAACAAAAAGCTAGAAAACAAGACAGAGAACCAAGAACAAAAAAGGAGTAAAATTCGAAAAACCACAACAACTAAACACAAGTAAAAGAAATTAGGATAAGGGCTAGGGTTTTTACCCTTCTTAAAGAGAGAAAGATTTGATCTTTGATCATGCAAGAAGCTCCGGCGAAACCCTAGATTTTGCAAACACAGATTTTGGGCTTGAAAGAAACCCAAACCCCTAGCTCTTATGATTTGGACTTTCGGGTCCACGTCTAGCTTTGTTAAATACAACTAGTTTTAGTGACCTATGGGAACACGGACTCGGCCCACCGTCTCCTGAATTGGGAAAGAGAGTAGTTGAGGGATATATAGCCCACTTTAAGGATGTCTTTCCCTTTTCTAATTGTTTTTTACTTATCATTTTAGTCCTATTAGGCTTAGGACCTGGGGATAGCAGTCGTTAGATGATAGAAGGGATCCCTAATGACTTGTAATAGAATGATACAGCACATGCATCCTCCAGATTTCGTGAAACAATATCCTTTTGGGTCGGGTCAGTTCAAGAAGCAGGGAAGTTTGCTGCATCAACGAGAGGTTTCAATACTGAGCATATAATGTCAACTCGCTTCCTGTCTCCATGGAAGGAACCTCTTTGTCATCAGGATCAGAAATATTTAAGCAAGAAAATGCTTCTTTCAACCCTGAAGCAGCAACCGGCATCTCACATGTCGTGATCCATTGAGCTTGTTTGTCGAGAGACAGGCTGTTTTCACTGGCTGCTTGAAGAAACTTTTGATTATGTGATTCAGAATTCTTCACCCTCTTGCGGATTTTCTCAATAATCTCTTGCCCTGCCGAAAACACATCTGCTGCACAGCTGTTCTCAAGCAGTAACTTACCATTGATGATAAGCTGATTCTTGACACAGAAGTTACCCAAGGTTTTCACGCCCAAGTTCACTCACTGGATGGTTGATTCGTGACAGAAATTAGCTTGCCCTCCAAACTCCAATCAGATAGGAAACGAGCAACATGGCTGCTAGCTGTATCCGAATCAGGATATGGTTCCTTCACATCATCGAGAATCTTTCCTGTGGCTTTTAATTATCATCGAGGAAGTGTCCTGCTATAAACACATAACCTAAGCTTTCCAGACATGCCTTCAACAAGCTTCATAATGTCTTGCTTCTCCGTCAAAGAAGGGTCGATCACCATGCTAAACCTGGGTTGAATATTACGGACGAAAGTTACAAATCAAAACAGAAGAAAACCCCCGAATTAATCGATGGTTTTACATTGATTTTGAGGACTTGTTAAGGTCTCAGCCCACCGTATCTTGAATTGGTACGTGTGAATTTAGGACTTCCTTGTTTAAGGAAAGGTAGGCCTTTCCACAAGTGGATTTCCCCCTTTTCTTATTGCCACTCTTTTGAATCCAACTAATTAAGGTTAGGACTTGGGATCAGTCATTACTTTGATGAAAGATTCTTTCTAACAATCTTGTAACTCTAAGAGAGAACACTTTCTTTTCTTAATACAATGGAGAAATGTTAATCAGAGACGTAGGCATCCAAATTTCATACGAGGATAGAAGATTTCCATCCACGAGCACACATGCATTTTATCCTGTGGATGCTCGATACATCCCATGTTTCTACTCGCTTTTATAAACAAAAAGACTCTTTGAGAAATTTTCGCTTTTATAAACAAAAAGACTCTTTGAGAAATTTGTGGATGCTCGATGCATCCAAAGTATTTTATTTTCAAGTTTAGCATAAATGATTGTTTTCAAGCAAATACGTCCATCTAAACTCATCACAATTTTAGATTGAAAGCATTGGATTTTCTTCAAAATGTCACCGTTTATTACATAAAATAACCGTGGAAGAACATGATCGGGGAATTTCTTTTATAGTTTAGAAATCCAATTGAAAAACGTTATAGTTAAGGGATCTAATTGAAAATTGCTCGACAGACCGAGACTAATTTTTGTGCAACTCTATTATTAAAATTCAAAATTATAAAATCCCATTTAGAATATGTAGGAGTAAGATCCGGAGCACAAATTAAGAATGTCAATATAGTTTAAATTATTAAAAATAAATAGATAAAAAAGATGTGGTTTGGTAAAATATTTTTTTTATAAAAAAATCAACAAGTAAATTGATCAGATTTGTCTATTTAGATTATAGAATAACGAGGGTTTTTAACTAGCTAATTCGTTTTACTCATTTATTTTTATTTTTAACTTGGATTGTTCCGGTCGTTGGATTGATTCGGTCCAAGTCTATACAGTACATTAACACAATGATCAATTCTATAAAGCCTTGGAAAGAAGAGGCAATTGTCTTCAAATTGAAGTTCATTGGATCGTCATGTTGGTCTGTTTTCTAGGTTTCATTCAAAATCCTGCCAAGCAAACCAGTTTGATCACATTTTTAATTTTGACTTCTCATAGTTAGTGATACATTTAGGTTTTGTTTGTTTGCAAAAAAAAAAATTAATTTTTTTTTTT